GGCTTCGAATTCGCCAAAAAGTCGCCTCCATTCCACGCGCCGGAAGGGTTTGAAGATAGGAACCCCCTCAAACCCTAAACCCTGAACCCTAAACCCTAAAACCCTCAACCCTCAAACCCTCAACCTCAACCCTCAACCCTCAACCCTAAACCCTAAACCCTACCCCCCCCCCCCCCCACACAAAATACAAGAACCAAAGTCCACTACCCTGAACCTTCGGAAGGTCCGATTCCCGACATGCTCTGGTCTGACCCGGCGGAATTGCCAGGCCAACGTGCTTGGGGGGCGTTTAGGGGTTTAGGGGTTTAGGGCTTAGGGTTTAGGGTTTAGGGTTTAGGGGCTTAGGGTTTAGGGCTTCGGGTTTCGGATGTTTCGAATGTGTCGATTTGGCACCATCTGGGCGGTGCCACGTCCCACGTCCCAGAGTTCACTTTGGGCTTTAGGAAGTGTGGGTCAGGGTTTGTGTAGGCAGGGTGTACGGTGTAGGGTATAAGGTTTAGGGTAGGAATCGTGGAAGGGTTGTAGGGTCGTCTTCGGGTGGCTTTGAGCCCCATAAAACCCCCAAAGTCCTAAAGGGTTTGGGGTTTCGGGTTTAGGGTTCAGGGTGTAGCTGTAAGACAAATCCCGGTACGTTTGGGCGACGTCCTGGGGCACCTACCCTCTAAAGAGACCAGATGTGAGAGAACCCACATTAAGCCATTAAGGGGGTGAATACCTTATATGCCCAAGTGGCTTTCAAAACAGCCAAGCAAATGAAATTATTCTGGAACAAAGCAAACGCTAGCATCAAATATAAGTTGCAGGTGTTCAATGCAACTGCAAAATCAAAGATACGGTTCAACAGTATTGTAGGGGCTTGACTCCATACAGCTGGCGCAAAATGAGCTGAAAAAGTTAGTTCCGCCCACGCATGTTGATTCAACCCAGACTAACAACTACAGCGTCATGAACAAAATCAAAAACTACGGAGTTCAGACTCAAAACCTCTCGGAATGTTGGAAAAGTCAACGATGAAATTACTAGGACGCATACTCAGGGCTGACAGGTATGACCCTCAACCCTAAACCCTAAACCTTAAACTCTGAACCCTAAACCCTAAACCATATAAGACAAGTTCTATTCGAATTTAGAAGCCGCTTCACCACGGATAAATTTCTACAGAAAAACAGGAGCTGACCGGCTTCAAGAAACAACGAAAGATGGTTTAGGGTTTAGGGTTTAGGGTTTAGGGTTTAGGGTTAGCCACCAGCAAACATACCACCAGATCTTGATTTAACCCTCCTACAAGGCACCCATTCTAAGTAGACATGATAAACGAAACAGCCACACAATCGCCAAAGCGCACGCCATGAAGAACATCGCCGCGGAGAAGATTGGACAAAATCGTCCGAACCAGCCTACAGGCTTGACAAGTAAATACAAAGTAGTTCACTGGCTTGCCCCGAGTTTCTCATCGAATGCCTCTTGTTCAGATACAACCCCCTTGTAGCTTTCTATGTTCGAGTTTGTTTCACCCGTGCCGCGCTCCCTAGCTTGGGATATGGCGCTGAGTGTATGATGCCTACGTAGCCTCCCAAAACAAACCCTTAAATCCTAAGTCGCCTCGGAAACTGTGAGCCCTCGAACCCCTGTAAGCCCGAGGGAATCCGAGAAAACCGATAACTCCTAGCAGCCCAAAAACCCGCAGAAATTTGCTGGAAACCCTAGAAAATACCAAACGCTGGAATCTAAAAGCTGAAGACAGAACCGTGGCGTCCCAGCGGTCAGGACTCAGGATTCAGGGTTTCGGGTGTAGGGTTTAGGGTTTAGGGTGAAGGAGTCTCGTTAAAGCCAGGCTGGCACGTGGCGCCGAAGAGTGTCGGCTACGCGTTTGGTGCGGCCTGTTCCCCAGACTGGGCTGCCAGCTCTGGGAGTTTAGGGTTTAGGGTTTAGGGTTTAGGGTCATGTAGGGTTCAAGGTCTGGGGTTGAAAGGAGTTGCATAGGGTTTGGGTCCCAACAACGTTTTGAGCGCAGCCTTTGAGCGAAACGCTTTTTTTGAAGGGGTTTAGGGTTTAGGGTTCCGGGTTTATGGTTTATGGTTTGGGCTTTAGGGTTGAGGGTTAGTTTAGGGTTGAGGGCTTAGGGCTCAAGGTTCACGGTTTGGCGTTTAGGGTTTGTTGGGTTTAGGGTTCAAGGTTCAAGGTTGAGGGTTGAGACGGTTCGGCTTGGATTGATCGTAAAGTTGAGCCAGGCCTTTCAAGCAAAAGGGGGGGGCGGGGGAGGCAGGGGGTGGGGGGGGGGGTGCAGGGCGCGGGGGGAGGGGGACAGGGGGGAAAGGGGGGGGGGCCTGCTAGGCGGGGCTTCAACTGCCCCTGGTCCTAGCATTCAGATTGTGGTCGCCCACGGGGGGGTACCCTTTCCAGGTAAAAAAAGGGTCCGATGGCTTTGCGAAGAGTGCCTGTTCTGACAATCGGCCCGAGGCCTCGGCGGATTTATTCAGACTCTGTTTGTCAGCTGTTTAAACAAACAGCATGGGAAATTCAGAAATATATGTTTATGTATTTTGTCTTGAGGGTTTAGGCTTCTGGGTCTGTGGCAGGGAGCCTTCCTCCGTCTGGTTGCTTGGCGTTCCTGGGTAGTTTCTATATCAAGGAAGCGAAAGGGATCGTGTTATTCCCCATGACAATGCTGGGGTCAACGCTTAGGGCTAGGGCTGAGGGCTGAGGGCTTAGGGTTATATAGGGGGCTCTGGGGGCTTAGGGTTTACCCGGAAAAGTGGTTTCGGATGCAATGAGTCGCCTCTTAAAGTCTTAAAGGCACCTCAGGGCTGCGATTCAGAAGTATCCTAAACCCTAAACCTTCTCCCCAAATCCAAAACCCTAAACCTTAAATCCCTAAATCCCCAAACCCTAAACCTTAAATCCCCAAACCCCTACACCAGCAAGCCCTGAACCCTGAGGACATCACGGCCGCCTTCCTCGAGGCCAACAACTTCTCGCTATTGGCCCCTGGGAGATGTCTTGGGATGTTTTTGTTTTGTTTTTTAATGTTTTCCCTTTTGGGGGCTTAAGCGTCATATGCCCAAACGCCAAACCCTAATTTTCCGGAACCTCTAAACTTGAAACTTCAAACCCTAAATCTTAAACCTGAAACCTCAAAACCCAAAAACCCCAAACCCCAAACCTCAAACCCTAACCCCAAACCCCAAACCCTAAACCCTAAACCTAAACCCCAACCTCAGGTCCGATCGCGGCAGCTTTGCGTGGATGGCTGCTTTGAGCCTGGGCCTGGTCTGGGTTCGTTTGCAGCGCTTCTCAACGGGTTTAGGGTTTAGGGTTTAGGATTTAGGGTTTAGGGTTTAGGGTTTAGGGTTCAGGGTTTAGGGTTTAGGGTCTATTAGAAATTGTTGAGGGTTTTGGGTCCCAATGACGTGTTTGACCGAAACGGTTTTCGAAGCTATGTTCAAATTTTGGGGGCGAGGACGAAGCCTTTGGAGTCCTTATGAGCCTTTTGGGGCTTCTTGGTCGGCCCTTGCGGGGGCCTTTCTGGGTCCCTCCCGACAACCTTTTTGGGGGCAACCTTTTTGGGGCATTTGTTGGGCACCGTCCTCTGGGAGTTTCTTTTGGGGTTTAGGCTTTAGGCTGTAGGCTTTAGGTTTCTTCTTGAGTGATTTTTTGGAGCTCGTGGGCCCTCCCGGTTTTTTGGGGCCCTTTCGCAAACCTTTTTGGGGCCGTCCCGGAAACATCTTTTTCGGGGCCATTTTTGGTGCCTTCCATTCAGGGTTTAGAGTTTCGGGAATACAGGGGACACACCATAGTAAGTACAGCCGGTTCGGGTTTCACACCTGTGCGGGGGGCGAGGGGGGGGGGGGGGGGGGGGGGGGGGGGGGGGGGGGCGCGGGGATGAGTATGGGCACTTAGTAGGGTTTAGGGTTTAGTTTCGGGTTTAGGGTTTAGGGTTTATAGGGTTTAGGGTTTAGGGTTTAGGGTTTAGGGTTTAGGGTTTAGGGTTTAGGGTTTAGGGTTTAGGGTTTAGGGTGTTGCTGGCATCGGGTTGCCCGCACCCAGTCCCTAAAACCTCTAACCCCAATAAAGGGTTTGCCTACTTTAACCTTTGTGCCCGTAAGAGGGCCATGTACCTCAATTTTTGGACATATACCCCATTGTTTTAAGGTACAAGTACCTCAATTATTCGGACATATACTCCATTCTTCAAGGAAAGCCACGGTGGCCTTTGCCTCACAGCCACTGTGCTGCACGTGCGGGGAGGTTTGGGGGGTTTGAGCCTTGCTCACCAGCTTGGAACCCAATTACCCCGCCAGCGTGTCGTTTGGGGAGGCTAGGAAGTACCCTTAAAACCCTGAGACCCTAAACCCCAAACCCGAAACCCTAAACCCTCAACCCGAAACCCCAAACCCTAAACCCGAAACCCCCAAACGCTAAACCCGAAACCCCAAACCCGAAACCCTAAACCCTAAACCCCCAAACCCTACAGCAGGGTTTGAAGGTGATTTGAATGGTGCCAGGTCTTCTCAGCTTCGCATCTGCGATCTGGCAATCAGGCTGCCGTTCTACACCTGGACGATGCCCGGCTCGACCTAAACCCTAAACCCTAACCCTAAACCCTAAACCGTAAACCCTAAACCCTAAACCCTAAACACCCTGCAGCGATAAGCGATAATAACGCTGAGCCATCTTTTCAGCTTGTGTGGTTTCTCATTGGCTCATGTCAGCAGCTCGCTCTCTCAGGAAGATTGCAATCGCACTGTCCACGCGTTTTCAGTAGAGCGGACTCCGGATAGCCCGGGCCACAGCGCCGCTATTCCGGATCACTTTGCTCTGGCACAAAACGCGCCGTGAAGACAGACGGGCTTTGCTGGCTTCGCCGGCAATGTACAGTCGAGCGCCCGCCCCAATCACAGTTAAAGAGGACTCGCGGCATGAGGCTGAGAAGCTCGCGGATGATTAAGACATTCCGGCAAAAATCCACCACCGACCCGAAAATTTCCCGGACCTGCCAGGTTCAGCCACCTGGGCAGGACGCCTGACCATGCGGTGAGGTGGCCCCTACGCAAGTCAGAAAAGGTACCAAGGGATCGTGCGGGCTGACAGCGGATGCGACAGACTACATTGTTGTTAAGACACTCAAATGGCTAAAACATGTAGTAAACTGGTACAATCTAGTCAGTACAGTACTATATCAGTATGGTAACCTATTTCGAGGATTCGTGAGGATGTGCCGACGTGGCAGCAGCTTTTTGGCCTACAAAAACCTCGCAGTTTGGTGCATCTTGCCCTGAAAGGAAAGTAGGCCAGTCCCCGCCATGGCCGTGGAACTCGAATATCGGAATACTTTCATCGACGTGAAGGAGGAGTTCGAGGACATGGCGGGCAGTTCGCGCAGGGCCCGCGCACGCAGCTCGCCACCAGGGCGCGTGCGCCGCATCAGCTTCAGCGAAGAGGCTGCCAGCGAGGAGGAAGCCATGCGCACCTATGTGGGCACTCTCTCCGAGAAGACCGCGGACCTGACCAGGCAGCTCCAAGATGGGACGCCCACCACAGCATGCTCCAGCCCCAAGAGCCAGGTGAGCTCGGAGGTGGAGTTTGCAGACAGCCCAGGGGGGAGTGATCTCGAGGGCCTTGAGGTTGCGAGTAGCATGGCAGAGTTCTTCCCACTGCCCAGTCAGGGTAGTCTTGGGCACCCCGAGGTGTGCCGGCGCCCGTGCATCTACTTCATCGCCGGGAACTGTGAGAACGGCCAGGCGTGTGACTACTGCCACATGGAGCACACGGAGAAGCCACCAAAGCTCGACAAGAGGCAGCGCAGCATGATCAAAGCTCTCAGCCGGCCGCAGTTCGTTGGGCTGGTGATGCACGACTGCCGCAGCAAGGCTGAGCAGGGAGGCTTTCTCGACGAGGCCGGGGAGATTCTCGACATCATGGCACAGGAATCCGCGGGCGCACGGCCTTTGGTACTGACAGACCGCGACCTCCGCAACCTCCAGAAGACACTTGCGCGGATGAACTTCTCCAACTTGGTCGGCCAGGTGATGCACCAGTCTGCTAGCCGAGCAGGGAACACAACACCTGGCGTCGACCTGGCCGCATCCCTCGAGAGGCTCCGCCTGCGCTTCCTGCCATGAGTGTGGGGGCCATACAGGTCAGGGGCAGCCTAGAAGCACAGCGGCTGCCCCATGCTGTAATTAGCACATGCGGCATGAAGGGAGCCTTTCCCAGAGGGAATTGTGGCTTCATAGAACGCTGGCACGCCTGCTGGGGGTCATTGGGACACAGTGTCATCTAGGCTGAAGCGTCTTCACAGAGGGTCAGCAGAGCTACTGAGGCCAATTGGGGACACTGTCCATCTCTTGACCCTGGCATCTTCCGCTTTGTCAGGTCCCGCCCAATCCCGCCAAGTTAGATCAGATTCAGAGCTGAATGCCGTGTGAATCTGTGCCGGGATCGTTCCGCGATCTCGCCTTTTGGCTCTTGGGAGTCTGCTTGGGGACTTTTGTGGACTCAGTGAAAGGCATACAGGCCCAAGGCTGAGGGTGTAGTGCAGTGTATAGTGTGCACCTCCCTTGTGCCACGGGCACAAGAACACTTTTAGTTGGACAAGAACACTTTTAGTTGGGCACTGCTCGTCCATGGTTGAACTCCTAACTTCATCACAAACTAAGCTTCTGGAAGCTAGTTGCAACCACGACTCGCAATGCCTGTCCATAGTCGCCTTCTTCCACATAGGTGAGTGGGTGGGTTGACTTGCTTTGCAGGGGTTTAATCATTGGCTCTCTCTTTGCGAGAGAGCTTGCAGACGACAGAGACCAGAGATGAATGGAAGGGGAAAAAGATGTTTTCTGTGTATTTTGACTTCCTACCCGTGTCATGGACATCATCAATATTGACAGGCTCGAAATTTGGCTGAAATGCTTCTTTGAAACTCATTATCGATTATACAGAAAGAGATTCTCTTTGAATATCTCCAATTCGACAATGAATATTAAATTTTTACAAACATTCATATCACGTGTGTTCACTTCATTTCATATTCATTCATGTCATGCATCTATTCATTCATAAATTATGGATGTAATCTACCACTTCGATATTGAGAAATGATCGTTCTTCGAGAATAGTAGTTTTGATGGTATCGGTTCGGGCGAGTACTCGATAGAATTGATGTATTTGGATTATAAAATTTTCCCAAAAATATCAATTTA